TTCCGATGACCCACACTGGGCCTCTTTGGTAGTTGCCGTTACTGAAGACCTCACTGCCCTGCACTTTGACGTGTTTACGTTAGTTTTCATTTACTTTACAACAAATTTGAGATGTTCCTTCTAAAGAGAGACATCAATTTAAAAATACTCTCAGAGAGGTTAATAAAAATTTCCTGACTCAGGCCTAAAATTCCCCTCAAAGCTTCCCTCCCCTGAACGTATACTGTCTGAGCCTGAGTTCCCTGGATGTACCGCAGCTCCGGGGCTGCCTGCGTCCTCCCGGGAGCTCGTTAAGTAAGCGGGAGACTGGGCCTGGCTGGGACTTTAAAATCAACTTTCTAGGGGTGGGATCCTAGAATCCCCACCTTTACCCGTTCCCCGGGTGGCCCTGATACGGGTGGGTGTGTGTGAACCCGGTCTACACTCTGACAATTCATTATGGCTGTGACCAGCTGGTTTTAATGACTGCACAGAACTTTCTTTCATAGGAAATTTACATAAGGCTCATTAAGACAATTCAGAGGGAACCTCCGGGGCCTGAGTTTGGTGTGCAGGGACACAGACACTTGGACGGTCATTAAGTGATAATATATTCTAGACTTCTAAAAATGCCTTCCTCCAGGCTCATTTAAAACAAAATTACAGCATACCCAGAGCAGCCTCGCAGTGCCCACTGCTCTGTCCCTTTGTTGAGACTTGCATTGATGTTCCCAAGGTGTTTCAAGGGCACCTGGCAGGGCGAACTATGGAGAGAAACATTCGCAGGAACCTGACTCCTGTCCCCACCTCCCTCCTTTGAACCGCAATCATTTTCTGTAATGCCAGTAATTTCAGTTTCACTAACGGAGTCCTTTAAAACCCAGACAGTCCAGTGAGGGATTGAGAGGATTTTTACTTATTTCTAATGCGTGTCTAAGGCTTCCAGTCCAGAATTTAAAGCATATTAAGTGGAAAGTATTAATTAGTGCAGATTTGCGTTGGCTCGTTGCACTAAGAATTTCAAATCGAAGGCACGAGTCCCGGTTTGATCATACCGTTGGGCTTGTGTCCGTCCGAAGCCTCCGTGTCGATGCCGGCTTAGGGTAGCTCAGGGACACTGGTTACGCCTGGGAGTTGGACAACTGAGTTAGGACCGTCTGGGAGCCCTCACCTTCCACGCGGGCCCTGAGTGCGAGCGGGCTTCACACACTGCGTGGTCGGGAGGCTGGTGCCGCTGTCGCCTGTGAGGACGATGGCCACGCGAGCTCCCCGAGACCGCGGGCTATCCGCAGTGTAGGTGTTTCAGGCACCTGTCAGTCCTGTTTAAATGTTCCTCTTTATTCAGACAAATGCGTGTGCCTGCACATGGAGCAGGAGAGGCCGGTGCGCCTCCACAGGTCTGGTCATGCCAGTCCCTTTGTCTGTGGGATCTTGGGGACCGGGCGTCCCTGTGACCCAGACCAGGCTGGGGTTTTGAGCTATGGTTGTTAACAGGATCCCACAAATTTCTGAAACTTCTAAACGTGTATATGTGTATGTAAATGGTGTGGAAAGATTCTTTGAGAAGCAGTGGTGGTATCTTCCCAAACAACGCTGTTCACTTATTTTTTAAGAGTGCAGTTTAATTTTAATCATCTATAAAGTTACTTGGTACTTTAGTGGGTATACCATGGTGTGTTTTGCTCAGCTAATGATACCTTAGAATAAAGCAATGGTTCTTTTTGATCCTTAGACACTAAATCTGAGCCAGGAATCAGACTGAGTCCGCTGGGGTTTTTATGAGAGTCATTTGGTTTACGAGGTCGTGAAATGAGCCCTGGCGGGAGACCACTGAAAGTCTCATATTTCTAATCTGCACATACAGAGATTTAAGTGTATATCCTGTTGTCTTTCTCTGGTAAGAAACTGGCTTTAACGAAAGCTGGTCGGAACCGGAAACCTGCTTTCCCTAACCCCGCGCTCAGACTCCGCCGTGCTCTTCTTCCAGGCCCTGGCCACGTCCATCTTCGCTTCTCCGCTGAGCCCGTTTCTCGGGAGCGTCATTTTCATCACTTCCTACGTCAGGCCAGTGAAATTCTGGGAGAAAAACTACAAGTAAGATCTTGGAGTCGGTGTTCTCTTGTTCTGCTCAGACTTGCATTGGGCAGGCTGTTTTTTCTTTTATTGGACGATCTCGGCTTGGGGCTAGCAGGTGGCATGGTGGTTAACTCCAACATGGCTGACTATGGTTCGAGTCCCAGACCCAGAGACTGGAAAATCATGCTCTGTGTGTGTGTGTGCATTCCAAAAATCCTAAGAGGAGAATGGAGGAGAAGGAATTGTGGCATGACCGTACCTCCAGGGGTGATTTTTCACTTTTCCTTTCTCTCTGTCTCTCTCTGGCAAGTACATGCACCCTGTGGCTGCAGGCCTCACCAGCTGTGGTGGGCAAGGCTGGCCTGTCTCCTTGGCTTCCCACCTCATTTGTGGGCCTGGCCTGAGCAGGACTGGTGGCAAATTAGCAATGGAGACCAGCCCAGGTATCCCCAGGTGTGAAGGAAATGAGCGGTTTTGCCGCTGGTTAGCAGTCGACCTAGGAGAGGCTTGGCATGCCATTGTCCACGTCACCAGGCGAGTGAGCCTCCCTGGAGGGCATCTTTCCCACTACCCCAGAGGCCTGGGTGCCCATCCCTGTGCCCATGCTCACCTGCAGCCCTGCACTGGGCCCACTCGTCACAGCTGTGTCTGTCTGGGTGCCATGAAACTTGCAGATGATTGTATCGCTGTTATTGACCCCTGAGACCACTCACCCCTTTCCTCAGTGAGCAGTGATGGAGTGGAGGCATTGTTTTGAAGGAGGGTGAGCAGATAGGCGTCTCGATTCACTGAGCAGCTTGAAGGAACTGAGTGGCTGTGGAGGGAGGACGGGAGACCAGCTCGGGACGGATGGGCAGTGTGGGCACCGGGCTTGTGTGGCATGCCAGGTGTGCGTCCTCAGCCGGGGCACTCCATGGGCAGGACAGAGCAGAGCTTCCATTTCTCCCCTGTGCTGAGGAGAGCCCTGCCCTGCCATGCTGTCACATCTAAACCCAAATCTGCATGGGCGTCTCGCAGAGCTCTGGGCATCACCCTGTGCCTAGTCTGTGCCAGGAGGCCGGCTAAGACTGGTTTTGCACTCCTCCTGGGCGTTGGCTAATAGACCTGCACCCTCTGCTCCTGGCAGGAGGTGGCGCGAGTAAGACAGCCTTGGCCTGCCAGTGTCCCCCTCGCCTCCACCCCCTCAGGCTCGTGACCTCGGGCTTCTTTCCTCATCTGTAAAACGGGGAGTAAACAATAGGACCTACTTGCAGCCTTGTGAGGAGGAAATGAACTCAGCTATGAAGCACCTGGGGCAGGGCCTGGCACGCAGCAGGCCCCAGGTGAGCCAGGCCTAGGCTTGCTCTCGGGAGCAGGCAGCCCTGAGTGCGCACAGATGCCTAGGATGAGGGCGGCCACGGGCTCCTCTCCTCAGGCACCCGCAAACCCGCAGACCCAGAGCGTCTCCTGGGCAGTGCCCGTGCCCACAGAGTGGACCTCCTGGAAGGCTGCTCCTCTTCTGGGAGAAGAGGGCTTTCTGCAGCAAGTCAAGTTGCCTTGAGACCTACACACGAAGCTCACCTGTGCTTTCGCCTGGGGCTGAACCCCTTCCCAGAGCAGATCGGGGTCAGGGCAGGGGCCTATCCAGGAGTCCTCAGGAGGAAACTGCCGCGCACTTTGGGAGCGCTGACTGCCGCACTTCGGGAGCCAGGAGCCTTGTAATGAGAGGTGTCTCCGGGCTCACCCAGCTGAGGAGGGAAGTGCAGGGCCCTTTACGGGAACACAGAGAGGGACTGACAGGCGTGGCCACGCCCACTGCCCTGCTGCTATGGCTTCCACTTGTGCACCCAGGGGTGCGGTTTGACCTGAGGTGCACTGGGAGCTTTTACACAGAACATTCCAGAAGACAACACTTTCCAGAAACTGCTGTGCATCAGGTTTCCCAGACAGCGCCGGTTTGCGCCACTCCTGCGTTGCACTGAGCTGTGCCACCCCACTCGGGCCGTCCCATTGTGCTGAGCAGTTCAAGTGTTGGAAAGTGTCCAGCAGCAAAGCAGACCGTGGGGCTGCTGGGAGGGGCCAGGCGTGCCACCGGCTTCCCAGCTGTCTGGGGCTGCTGGCTGCTCAAGGTCACCCTGGAGCGAGAGGCTTCAGGACTGAGTCAGGCTGACAGATGGGGACAGGGGGCAGGCTGAGCAGGGCAGGAGGGCGGAGCCTGCTCAGTCTTTCTAGCGTCTGAGAGAAGGGGTGCCTCCTGTTTCCCCACCACTTGGGACCTGTTAGAAGTGGGACTGATTTATTCTAAACGAAGGCAGGCAGGAAATACAGGGGGACTCCGCAGTCAGTGAAAAATGAAATTGACATTTGAGCATATTTTGGTACAAAAACAAATTTGAAATCCATGTAGAATTTCTTCATAATAAGAATTTCCCATGCACTTTTTGTAAACCCCTTGTCTGAGCTTTCCAATCTACATTGCCTCAAGTCCCTGGTACAGGAGTCTTACTGGGTAGATTTGAGGCCTCGGACAGTGAAGCTTCACTCCCCAAAGCCAGAAACCTGAGCACTTCTAATTAAAACGTCTAGCCTGCATGAGAATAAGTGTGTTCTCGTGCAGGGTGTTCTGTGGAGCACTCTCCGTTGCTAACAGGTCACTCGGCGCTGGGAGCTTTTGTGCCTGAGGCCCTGGTTACAGCTCACCCCAGAATTGCCGTGCAGTCTCCTCGTTCTGTTGTGGATTCTGTTACTCTGAGTGCACGTAGAGACGGACTCCAGCCTACCTCACGGGAAGCATAGACCGTGCCAGGCTCTGCACACTGGCGCTGCTCTCGGCCCACTGCAGACGTGCTAATTTGGGGGGATGATGTGTCATGTGAATGCGGGCAGTCACATCTCCGTTTTCTTGTCATCGTCATTTGGAACCACACTGTCGTCATCCCACCCGGGGTCTACGGTGCTCTCTGCAGAAGGCTGTGCGGCTCTCTGGAAACCCAGCTGGGTGGGCCAGTTCCACCCCTCCCTTTGGGACAGTTTCAATGAAACATGCCCAGTAATACCAAAGTAACCGCATACAGAGACTCGAAGCATGCGACCCAGTTAAACTGAGAGCAGCGTCATGTAGCATGTCCCTTCCACGCTCCACATTAAGAGTTTTAGAGGCGGCATGGTTGGAGCTCATTCTCTTACATGGAGAAGATTTTGTGAGAGAGGAACCTTTGAGGTTTGGGGGACAGGAGGGAGAGAAGCTTCTTAGTAATCTTAAAGGAAATCATTGGGTAGAAAGTAAAGTTTTAGAAAATCCTAACTGTGAGAGCCGCTCAGAATGACAGCAAGTTCAACATATTGATCCGTGAGCCCCTGGAGGGGCCTTCTGAGGGTGTTTTTCACCATTTCAAAGGATCTCTTTGAAGGAAAAGCTGCTGAGAGTGGAGTGTGATTGGGAGGCTAAATGAACAGATGTCCTTGTCCTCCTGGAACCAAGATTTGACGCAACCTTCTAGTATTAGAGAAAAAGAAAATAATACTGTTTATTTCATCCATGAGTGACACAGAAAGTGACAGCTCCCCCCCGGGCCACCACCTGCCTAAACCAGTTGGTCAGGGGCCTGCGTGTGCCCGCTGTGCTCAGAGAGGTCTCTGGGTGCAACCCAGAACCTCCCCCGTGGGCCGGCCTTGCAGAGTGTTGGTTTTACTGCTGCACCGCTGTCCGACTCCTGAAAACTCAGATTTGAAAGTAAGTATTAAGGGGCCAGCAGGTGGCATTGTGGTTACAGCACTGGACTCTCGCAAGGCCAATTGCAGTTTGAGTAGCAGACCTGGTGGTTCGCTTTCTCACTTTCCCTTTCTCTCTCTGTCTCTCTCTGGTCATATTAAACATAATAATAATAAAATAAATAAGATTACATAAAATGCCTCCTCTTAAAAAAGAAATATTAAAAATTGTCAGGCTAGAAAATGCTACTCCTTTTTTCCATTTAAAAGGAAATCTAGGGGCCGGCAGGCAGTGTAGTGGTTAAGGGTGCTGAATTCCCGCATGACTGCCTGTGGTTCAAATCCCAGACCCGGCAGCTTGCTCGCTCGCGCTCTCTCTGTCTCTCTGTCTCTCTCTCTCTCTCTCTTGTTCTGTCCCTCTCTGGTCAAATTAAAATAAATAAATAAATAAAATTAAATAAAATAATTCTTTAAAGAAGAAGAAGAAGGAAACCTATACCAGGTGTGTGACACAATGGCAGCACACTCTCCTGGTGGCCCTGCCACTCCCCCTTCCCTGAGGCTAGTGTGACGTCTGTCCAGCCTGCAGGCAGCGGTCACAGCTGTGGCTCTGCGCTTCAGCTTCCTCCCCAAGGTTCTGTGTCATGTTTGCCATTTTGTACTCAGAAAACGGGGGCGGGGGGTAGGGGGCGGGTCTCTTCTTTCCACCTCTCAAATAATTGAATAAGCCAGAAACTGGGTCAGAAAGATCAGCTTTGTCGGCAGAGGTGTGGGCGTCTCCCAGGGCCCGCCAGGCCGTTGACATGGGTTTCCAGGCCACACTGTCTGCGTAGGGCAAACGTCATGTAACGCACACTCGAGATGCCAACTGCGCCCACACCGGTGGCCAAGGGGTGAGCGGTCCGGCAGCGTGCCTCCAGACGGCCGTGGGGCGAGCAGGGATGAAGACCTGATGTGAACACTACACCCATGACGGGAGGGAGGGGAGCACGAAGGCAGTGGGGGACTTCTCGGAGGGCCGCTTCCCTCAGCCGCGAACCCGCAGCTGGTAGAACGGCCTCGCGTCAGGGCCTGTGTCTCAGGTCACTGTCTCTCCAGAGCCAAGCCGCCACCAGAGGCCCCGAGTTAAGTGGCCGCAGCCCGGGCGTCTGCACCCCAGACCGCAGCCCCGCTCCAGCACCGGCCTCTCCGCTGTGTGGGATTGCAGGAAAGCCTGTTCGTCTTGATCTAAACTCTCGTGTACATCACAGATGAAGAACGAATAAGAAGTGCCTTCCTCACAGCGCTAAAGAAAACAGTTCATGACCTTGACTGCTTTTTACCCAAAG